GTAAATTTTAGATCAGCTTGTCTACATCTACAAAACAATCCTGCTGGGATTTTTGTTGTATTTTGTTAAATCTATTGATCAATTTGTGAAGAACTGACATCTTGACTATGTTGAATCTTTCCATCCATGAACATGGTATGTCTCTCCATTTATCTAGTTCTTCTTTTATTTCTTTTTATCAGCATTTTGTAGTTCTTAGTGTATAGGTCCTCTACATGTGTTTTAGATTTGTATTTCAGAATCTAGTTTTGGGGGCTTTAAACTGTACTGTTTCTAAGTTCAGCTCTCAATTGTATAGTACTAGTTTATAGAAATATAATTGATCTTTGTGTGTTGACTTTGTATGCCATAACCTTGCTAAACTCACTTATTAGTTCTAGCTCTTGTTTTAGTTATTTTTGGTAGATTCCTTAGGATTTTCTACCTATGGTCATGTGCCACATGACATTTCAGTCGATGATGGACTGCACATATCATGGTGGTCCCATAAGATTAGTACCGTATAGCCTAGGTGTGTAGTAAGCTATACTATATAGGTTTGTGTATATACTCTCTATGATATTTGCACAAAGACAAATTCACCTAACGATGCATTTCTCAGAACATATCCCCATCATTAAGCGACACATGACTATATTCAATCATATCCTCTGGAAATGGAAACAGTTACATTCTTTCCTTTCCAGCCTGTATGCTTTTTATTTCCTTTTCTTGCCTTGTTGCACTGGCCAGGAGTGCGAGTGCTATGTTGATTAATAGTAGTAAGCACAGACATCCTTACTTATTTCTATTTTAGAAGGAAAGCATTAATTCTTTCATCATTAAGTATGATGTTATCTCTAAGTTTTTTGTAGTTGCCCTTTAAGAGGCTGAGGAAGTTCCCTTCCTCACCTAGCTTGCCGAAAGCTTTTACTATGAATGGATGTTGTATTTTGTCAAATGCTTTTTCTGTATCAATTGGTATGATCATGTGGTTTTTCTTCTTTAGCCTTTAATCTTCTTTAATGTAGATTACTTTGACTTATTTCCAAACATTGAACCAGCCTTAAATATGGGAGATAAACTCTGCTTGGTCATGGTGTATTATTCTTTTTATGTATTTCTGGATTGATTTGCTAATAGTCTGCTGAGGATTTTTGCTTCTATGCTCATGAGAAATATTGGTCAGCTTTCTTTTATTGTCCTGTCTTGTCTTATTTTGGACAAACGCCACATTCTTTTAAAATGAAAAAATCTTCATTTTAAAATACACAATTATCAAAAATCTGGTACTTTCTATTACCGTTTTGAAAGATTTAATTAATTTTCATATGCTGAAGTGGGTCACCTCAAGAAGACAAGCCAGTACCCAGGCTATGTTCAAGGTGTTTGACTATAGATAAAACTACTGGCCCCTCCTGAACTGTGCACATGATACAGGTGATGGTGGAGCATGTTCTTTTGAGACTTTTAATCAATTCAGAGACCTCTCATATATTCATATACATGCACACACACACACACACACACACATACGTACATGTTACATACATAAGCACAAAAAAAGGAGGAGAATGATTACCACCAGCACAGCACCAGCTAACACTTGCCTTGTGCTTACTATGCATCTGGCATTCAGCTAAGCATTTTACAACATTATCTCCTTTAAACCAAGCAAAAAAATGTTTTTCGTCTGTACATGGTAGATGCTTTGATAAGCCACGTATCTTGCAATGGCCTTACAAAGTATATAAAGAGGTGAGTTACATCTTGTACCCTGACCTCAAAGCTTATGTTCCTAATTACTATGTCATACAGTTTTGAGATACTATTCTTTTTTTTTATTGAGTTATTGATAGGTTACAATCTTGTGAAATTTCAATTGTACATTAATGTTTGTCAGTCATGTTGTAGGTGCACCACTTCACCCTTTGTGCCCACCCCCCACCCCACCTTTCCCCTGGTATCCACTAAACTGTTCTTGGTCCATAGTTTTAAATTCCTCATATGAGTGGAGTCATACACAGATTATCTTTCTCTTGCTGGCTTATTTCACTTAACATAATTCTCTCAAGGTCCATCCATGTTATTGCAAATGGAATGATTTTGCTCTGTTTTGCAGCTGAGTAGTATTCCATTGTATATATGTACCACATCTTCTTTATCCATTCGTCTGTTGATGGGCACTTAGGTTGCTTCCACGTCTTGGCTATTGTAAACAGTGCTGCAATAAACATTGGGGTGCACAGGACTTTTGGGATTGCTGACTTCAGGCTCTTTGGATAAATACCCAGTAGTGGGATGGCTAGATCGTATGGTAGTTCTATTTTTAGTTTTTTGAGGAATCTCCATACTGTTTTCCATAGTGGCTGCACCAGTTTGCATTCCCACCAGCAGTGTATGAGGGTTCCTTTTTCTCCGCAACCTCTCCAACATTTGTTGCTATTAGTTTTAGATATTTTTGTCATTCTAACGGGTGTAAGGTGATATCTTAGTGTAGTTTTGATTTGCATTTCCCTGATGATCAGCGATCATGAGCATCTTTTCATGTGCCTATTGGCCATCAGTATATCTTCTTTGGAGAAATGTCTGTTCATGTCTCCAGCCCATTTTTTGATTGGGTTGTTTGATGTTTTGTGGTTGAGTTGCGAGAGTTCTTTATATATTAAGGGTATTAAGCCTTTGTCAGATATATGACTTGCAAATATTTTTTCCCAGTTAGTGGGTTGTTTTTTTGTTTCAATCCTGTTTTCATTTGCCTTGAAGAAGCTCTTTCATCTGATGAAGTCCCATTTGTTTATTTTTTCTATTGTTTCCCTTCTCTGAGAAGGCATGGTGTCCGAAAAGATCCTTTTAATACTGATGTCAAAGAGTTGAGATACTATTCTTAATCTACTTTTTCACTTAATATATCTACTCCATCCTTTTTATTGGCTATATCATATTCCAGTGGTAAACTGCATTTTCCAAAATGGTCACAATAATCTCCCTTCCAATGTGCTATTCTTGCATTGTAATTCTGATTCTTCTCCCATGAAGAAGTGTGGTTTATTTTCCCTCCCCCTTGAATTTGGGTAGGTTTGACTGTGGAAGAAGTGATACTGTTATTTCTGAGGTTAGGTCACAACAGGTAATATTGATTCCCTGCCTGATTCTCATGAGACATTCATTCTTGGAACTCTGACCATCGTCCTGTGAGGAAGCCCAAGCAACCACATGAAGAGGCCATGTGTCAGTATTCTTGTCAACAGCCCTAGCTGAGGTCCCAGCCAATAGCATCAACCACCGAATTTGTGTGAGCACCTTCAGATCAGCACTGGCCAACAGAAATATAACGTGAACCCCAAATGTGGGTCACATATGTAACTTTAAATTTTCTAGTAACCACATTAAAATCAATTTTAATATGTTTAATTTAACCCAATATACCAAAAATATCATTTTGACATGAATCAATATAAAAAAGTGATTGAGATAGTTTAGTTTCTCTTTATCACACTAAGTCTTCAAAATCCACTGGATGTTTTACACTAACAGCACATCTCAATTCAGACTAACCTCTTTGCAACTTCTCAATAGCCACTTGTGGCTACTGTACTGTGGCAGCTTCATATGATTCCACCTTTCAACTGTCAGTTCCAGCCTTGGGTTTTCACGGCTGAGACCCAAACATCACAGAGTTATAAAGTTGTTCCTGCTATCCTCTCTTTGAATTCTTGACCCACAAAATCCGTGAGATAACAAAATGGCAACTAAATTTGGGGTGGTTTATTATGCATTGATAGTAGCTGGACTACCAGCCTATGAAAGCTCTATAATTTATCAAAACATTTCCCTACTTAGGTGTTTTTCCCACCTCTTCCCAGGATTTTATGATAAACAATGCTATGATAAGCAATATAATCTCTGTAAGCTAGTCTACTTCCTTAAATAGTTTGAGAGTGGCTTTTCTGGGTCAATGGGAACATACATTTAGTAAATTTACATTTACGTTGTCAAACTGCTATCCAAAGCAGCTTAACCAGTTTTCATCAACAATAATGCATACATGCCCACCTGTGCTTCTTTTGATTAATTCTGGCCCTTTTCCAGTTTGACATGAATGCTTAGTTCCTTTCTTTTCTGTTCTATAACATTCCTCTATAATTTTGCTTTACTTTACATTTTAAACTACCAGTGATATATCTTTATTGTAAAAGATTCAAGTAATACATAAACTATATAAAAGCAGTCCTATACCATTATTATACGCTTTGGCTTTTTTCCCAATTAATGTCTTAGACATCTTTCCCTGTCAGTTCATAAAGTTTAACCCATTGTGTGAATTGATTAAGTGACTGCTTTATAATTAACTGTTAAATGTTAAATGACTGCATGGCAGTCCAAAGAATGCATGGATCTTAATTTAACCATTGCCCTGGTGACTCCAGCTTTTCACTACTATAATGTTCTAAAGACCAACTTTACTCTTTCTTAGATTTTAAGAAGTTGAAATGTTAGATCAAAGGGCAGAAACTTTTTAAAAGTTGGTAGATATAGTCAAATTATGCTTCTCACCACCCAACACATTGTTAATTCACAATTCCTTCAACAATACATGTGTGTCTATTTTCTTGCTCACTCAAAATCATCAAATATATCTTATTAATTTTTGCCAAATAAGCCCCCCAAAAATATGATCATTTTAATCCACATTTCTCTAAAGTTGGTCATCTCTTTTTGAATTTGACCCTTTGTCCTTTTTTCTGACAATTGTACATGCATATCCCAGACCATTTTTCCACTGAGAATTTTATATTTTTCTTATGTATTTTTAAGAACTCTTTAGATATTCTAAGTGTTATTTGTTATATATGGTGGTGGTAATATTTTCTCCAAGTCTGGTTCTTTGTATTTTAATATTGTGAAGCCTCTGGTCATACAAAAGTTTTTAGTTTTCATGTGTATGATTTTTAAATTTTCATGGCTTCTGAGTTTTCCAATTTAAAAAGACAACTGTTAAGTTATAGACGATACATGTATGTATGCTTGATTAAATATTTCAAAAGACACAGCCAAAGTCAAAATTTCACTTCAGCATACCAATACCACATCCTTCTCAAAGATAACTGTTAAAGTTTGGCCTTTATTTTTCCAGATCTTTTTGAATACATATAATATATATGTACACACAAAAAAAGTTTCACTCTTTAAAATATAAATAAGACCATAATATATAAATTTTCTGCAGCTTGCTTTCTTAACTTAACAAGATATCATGGGGGTATTTCTCTGGCCATAGATAGAGCTCTACCTCATTCTTTTTACTTGCTACATAGGATTCTATAGTAACTATTTCCATATTGATAGATATTTAGGTTCTTCAAATATTTCACTAGTACAAACCATACTACAATGACATCCTCACAAGTGAGAAGTTCTTCAGGATAGTGGTGCACAGAATATTTTTGTTAAATGTGTAATTTATTGACTGTCTCCTCTTTGATGGTCAAAAGGAATAAACTACATCTGCATGATTTACCACACTACATTTAATGGCTGTTGCTTCATTATGAGTTTTCTTATGTTGTTTAAGGGCTGAACTCTGGGGAAAAGCTTTCCCGCACTTATTACATTCATAAGGTTTTTCTCCAGTATGGATTCTCTAATGTTCAACAAGGCTAGAGCTATGTCTGAAGGACTTCCCACATTTGTTACACTGATAGGGTTTTTCTCCAGTATGAATTCTCTGATGTCCATAAAGGTTGATCTCTTCATAATGGCTTTCCCACAGTCATTACATTGATAGGGTTTATTTCCGCTATGAGTTTTCTGATGTCCAGCAAAGGATGAGCTATATCTGAAAGATTTTCCACATTTACTACAATGATAGGGTTTCTCTCCTGTATGTATTCTTTGATTACTAATAAGAGTTGAGCTCTTCCTAAAGGCTCTTCCACAGTCATTACACTGATATGGTTTCTCACCAGTATGGATTTTCTGATGTTCCAACACAGTTGAGTTATCCCTGAAAGCTTTCCCACATTCTTTACATTTAAAAGGTTTCTCTCCACTATGTAGCCTCTCACGACAAGTAACGGCTGCATTCTGAGCAAAGGCTTTCCCACAGTCATTACATTTGCAGGGTTTGTGACCAGTATGAATTCTGTGATGACTTAAAAGGATAGAGTTCTTTCTGAAAGCTTTCCCACATTCACTGCATTTATGGGGTTTCTCTCTAGAATGAATTTTCTGATGACTAACAAATGTTGAGTGCTTCTTGAGGAATTTCCCACATTCAGTACATCTATAAGGTTGCTTGCCTATGTGGATTTTATGATGATTTAAAAGGGATGAGCTGCTCATAAAGGCTATCCCACATTCTTTACACTTATGGGGTCTCTCACCAGTATGATTTCTCTGTGGCTAATGAAGGAGGAATTATATTTGAAGACTTTCCCACGCTCCTCACATTTATAGTGCATCTTCTCTGTGGAACTTCTGCCCTCTCAACCTAGGCCTCTTTCCATCATGACAGTTTTTGTTCGCTCTCCCAGATCAGATCCTTCAGAAATATTTTGCTTTAGGGCCAACATCTTTGTTTCAAACCAGTACTCCTGGACTGAAAGAAAATTTCAAAAATCAAATGTTCTCTTTGTTGAAATACTGAAAATGAGAGCTACACAAGGATAAGGATAATGTTCTATTCTACACAAGTAAGGGTTATGTAAAATTAACTCATCCCGCTTGTGATTCTTGCTCAGAAAAGATGGCAAAACTAAAGATAGTAGAAGTAAGTAGCAGTCAAAAGAAATGGAAGGAAGTTATATTATAAACATTGTATTTAAAGAATGCAAAGAGTATCAAAGAAGTTAGCAAGGTATGAGAATAACACAGGAAACATGCAAAAAAAGAAAAATGATGAGAACTGTGAGGATAAGCATAAATTTGGGGAGAAAGTCAAGCATCATAAAGTAAGCCATGATTACTAGCACAGATTCCTATAGGGTGGTACATTTGAGAAGATTGCAATTTCTCCAAGAACTTAATAACAACATTTCCTATGAGAATTTAACAGAGAACCAACATTTAATGATGCAGATAAAAAACAGACAAAATATTTAAGGAACCAAAATAGTTCTCATGTCAAAAGATTTTAGTATAATCTAAGTTTCTAACATATCTAAAAAAGAACATACCAACCAAAAGGAGAACTATGTGATTTTTCTCTAGCTGTTTACAAAATACAGATACAAGACCCAATAGAAAACATGCAGAATGAATCTGACAAGGAGATTCTGAAAAACTAATGAAGCCAAATTTGTGATAAATCAATAATCGTTGATCAATTCTTTTACTGAATGAATTTTTTCTACAAAAAGAAGTTATATCTACCTATATCTACAGACATAGATATATATACACACATATATACATGTACATTTATAGTTTTTGTATATTTTATGTTTATTAGCCTGGGGAGAAATCCCATACATCAGATACTAGAGCTGAGACTTATTATTTAAAGAGATGCAACTTGGAGGTGAAGCCTGGTAAGAAACAGCTCAGATCCTTCAAATGGCCTTTAATGGGATATGTATTTAATGTGTAATGGTTAAACTAGAGAAAATTTCAAGATCCTGGTCGTAAAGGTAGGTGAAAGCAAATTAGTTATATGAAGAGGAAGACTGTGACAAAGGCAGCCCTGCAGAGCAGTGAGGAAAAGGAGACTATACCTATACTGGCATATTTGGGGAGGGGGCAGGGAGTAAATATGAACCCTACCTCATACCATGCACAAACATCCATTCTAAGAGGATGGTAAAGCTAAACATAAAAGACAAACAATAAAACTTCTGGAAGTTAACACAGGAAAATATCTTCATGAACTTGGGGAAAGGAAAGATTTATTAAATAGGACACAGAAAGCACGACAAGAAAGAAAAAGATTGGTAAGCTAGAGTTCATTAAAATTAAGAGCTTCTATTCATCAAAAGACAATTAATAGTGAAAAGCAAACCACAGAGAGCAAGGTGATACTACATATGTAATCACTGAAGTGTTCTTTGGACAGATACCTCATAAACGATGGTATGTCATGGTCAATAAACATTTGAAAATGTCCTCAACCTCATTAGATACCAGGAGTATGGATTTTAAAACCACAGTGAGATACATGACACACCCAAAGAATGACTAACTTCAGAAGGCTGACAATATCAAGTGTTGGCAAGGATACAGCACAATGAGTACTCTCACACTGATGGTGGAAGTACAAATCAGTTTAAAACTTTGGAAACTATTTGGCATTATGTACCAAAGTTGAATATATGCATATCCTATAAAATAGAAATTCCACTTTTAGATACCTAATCTAATGCCCAATAGAAATGTATTCCATATGAATCAAGAGATAATATACAAGAATGTTCACAGCATTGATAATAGTCAAAAGTTGGAAATATCCATCCAAACACATGAGATAAACTATGGTATAGTCATATAGTGAATGAAATATTCTATAGCAGTAGTTTTCAAAGCATGGTCCCCAAACCAGTAGCATCAGCATCAGCATCATCTGAGAACTTGCATAAATTTTCAGTCCATACTCCAGGCTTACTGAATCAAAAATTCTGAGGGTGGGGTCTAACAATTACACTCAAGCATGCATTCTGATACATGCTAGAGTTTTAAGAAACACTGATCCAGAGCAAAGACAATGAATGAGAATGGATGAATCTTACAAAATGTTATCCTTAAGAAGCCAGACCAAAAAAAATACTATACGGTTCCATTCATATAAAATTTAAAAACAGGCCAAAATAAACTACAGTGTTAGTTTTAGGGGAGAGGGAGAGAACGGTTAATGATTGGGAGGAACCAAGATGTGATTTGGTAGAGTAAAGCCAGTGTTCTATTTCTCGACCCGAGTGCTGGTTACCAGGGTATTCAGTTTAAAAATATTAATTTAGGCTGTATATATATTTTCTGTCAACTTTTCTATATATGTATTAAATTTTTTAAAGTCTTTAAGAAAGATAAAAGGAAGCCTAGTTTATGAGTCTCTTAATATTTTGATTAGAGAAATCCAAATACAAATTGCAAAATATCTAAAAAATGATGTTAATAAAATCTACATATCAGAATCTATTGAATAAAACCAAAACATTGCATGAACAAAAGTGTAAGGCTTTAAATATCTATATTACATAAACAAGAAAGAAAATCAATGAATTAAGTAAACTAAAAAGTTTAGAAAAAGCAAATAAACCTAAGGAAAGAAAAGGGAAAAGGAATTAAAGATTAAAAAGCAGAAAACAATGCTAATAAATGCATCTAAGAGCTCCTTAAAAAAATAAAATGGAGCTAATGAATGAGCAAAAACGGAAAGACAAACAATGTAAGAAATTAGGAGAAAATAACCATAAATGTGGAGGATATTATAAAAGCCTACTTTGTTCACAACTATGCAGATAAATTTCAGAACTTGAATTATGGGATATCTTTTGGAAACTCTGAATTACCAAAACTGTTTTGGGAGAGAGAAGGAAAATCTACTTGGACAACTTACTACATAGGAGAGAATGCTATCAGAGAACCACCCCCAATTCCCCTCCCCTGCCCCCTGCCACGATGAATGAGCAAAAACAAAACAAAGCCCCACACCTTCAGGGACCCAGCTGTCACGTGAATTAAACTATACCAGAGGATGGAAATAGGAAGGGTCCAAAAAATTTTTAAGAAGTATTGCAAAATTGAAATAAAAGCTCAGTGAAAATGGCCCGACAAAAAAGAACATAAACAAAGTTCTTATACATATCAGTGCAAAAATTTACATAAGATCAGCAAACAGAATCATCTATTGACATATTGAAAGAATAGTGTGCCACGACCAAAAGTGGGGTTCTACTAAGAATGCAAAGTCATTAAGATAATCGAGAGTAAAAGTTACCATATTAATAGATCAAAAGACACATATCATCTCCACATATGCTGAAAAGGCATTTGACAAAATTCAACATCCATGCTTAATTTAAAAAACAAAAATTTCTTAATAAAAGAGGTGAATTAAATACTTCCTCTACATAATGTATCCCAAAACAATAACCAGCTAGATGGGAGAACCCTAGACACAATCCCATGAAAGACACAGAAAGACAAGCATATCCATCATTACCATTATTGCTGACAATACGAAAAAACGTCAAGACAAAACAAAGTTCAAAAATACATGCTCAACTACACTTCTGATAAAGAGAAATGCAAATTAAAATTACAAGAAAATAAAAAACTTTATTAGATTGGCAATGATCAAAAAGTATAAGACCCTGTTGACAAGGTATGCTCAAACTGGCATGCATACATTGTCATTAGGAGTATAAATACATATAATCTCTATGGATATTGGTAATAGCCACTAAATTTGAAAATTTACTTACCCTTCCATCTAGCAATTCTTCTTCTGGAATTTATCCTAGAGATTTACTCGTACTTGAGAGAGATGATACGTGTATGAAGATACACCGCAGCACTTTTCGTGCTGTTATGTCCCTTAATAGGGAACTGATTACATAAATTACAGGATATCCATAAATGGGAACACTATGCTGGCAGTGAAAAGAAAAATAGTGGCTCTAAACAATGTACCTATGTGAAATGATTTCCAAGACGTGACAAATGTGCTTTAAAAACAAGAATACATGCACATTCTTGCAAAGCATATGTTATATCTGGAAATTTCCACAAGAAACTTATACAAGGATGCCTCTGGGGAAGGGAACTGGGTGATTAGGAAAGGTATGTGAAGGAGGCTGCACACCATTTGAACTATCTGAATTTTGTACCATATGCATTTCTAAAAACTAATAGAGGGAAATACGGGAAAAAACGGGGGGAAGCATAAGACAATGGATATGAAATTTTTGTATAAATATTTATTAGTCCTCTAAACAGACAGAAGAAATATCAGAGGAAACACTGTTACTTTTTACTACATCTAAATTTTAAACATCCCATTTCAAAAACACCAAAATTAGGGGCTGGCCCGGTGGAATAGTGGTTAAGTTTGTGTGCTTTGCTTCGGTGGCCCAAGGTTCACGGATTCGGACCCTGGGCATGGACTACAGACCACTCATCAAGCCATGCTGTGGCAGCATCCCACATACAAAATAGAGGAAGATTGGCACAGATATTAACTCAGAGACAATCTTCCTCAAGCAAAAAGAGGAAGATTGGCAACAGATGTTAGCTCACGGCCAATCTTCCTCAACAAAAATAAAGAAAGAAAGAAAAACAGAAAGAATAAGGAAGACTGAGTTCACAAGAATTTAGGGGGGTTAAGTTAAACATAGTAAGAACAAAAGGAATTACTGAAAAGTATCTTTTAAAAACCTAGGTTAAGCAAGATTATGTATCACTGGTATTTTCCATGAAATTCAGTTAGAAAAGTTTTCCTGATGGTGATACAGACAAAATGACAGAGTTTTAAAAGAAGGAATATGACAGGATAAGTATTTCAGGTGAGAAAAAAAATCTACTTTTAAAGATTTAAAAATGAATTATGACACAGAGAAAGTGACATACAGAAATTTATGCAAAGAATACATAGAAA